TTTTCATCTCGAGACCGGCAAAAGCTACGGGGCTGAAACTTTGGGGGCATAATCTACATGCACTTACGGGCCCCCATCCCCAAACTGGACGGTCCTACCCGCGTGGCACCCGCGTAAGAGCCCGCTAAAATTTTTTTAGGGTAGGTTGATAACTCGCGAACCAGGAAAGCTAGAAAGCTGAAATTTTAAGGGAGTGTTCCCCGTCCAAGTGCATACTAATGAGCTCAAACCCAACCCCCGCGTAAGCGAGGTACCCGCGCATGGGCCTGCCAAAATTTTCCTGCTTAAATTCATAACTCGGGGATCCGAGATGCTAGAAGACATTAGTCTCAACGAGATCAAACCCAGCCCACGGCTATGCGTGGTACCTACGCACGGATTCACCAAAGTTTTTCTCGGGTAAGCCCATAACTGGAGAACCTGTAAAACTAAAAGACTGTAGTTTTAGGAGGATGTTCCCTGTCCAAATAAGTCTCAACGAGCTCAAAGCCAGACATCGGGCATACGAGGTACTCGAGTGCGGGCTCGTGAAAAATTTTTTCCAGTAAATTGCTAACTCAGGAGCCAAGAAAGCTAGAGAGCTGAAATTTTGAGGGGTGTTTCCTGCCAGTTTTGGCGGTCAGTCTTAATTTGTTTAGCTAAAGGATTTGCCAAAAAACCAATGCCGGTAGCGACAAATACCGCGGGGAACTATGCGAAAAACGCATCTTCGCACGGGCAGCCCGAGCGTTGGCCAATTATTATATGTTGAGTAGCTCCAAAAACCATCATGATTTGATAAAAACCAACTCCTGTGTTTTATCGCATTCAAACAGTGCAATTCCGTGACACTGTTATTGGTAAGTAAGTCTTTTATTAAATTAGTAGATGAGAAAACTTCCTCAAGCGCCGCTTCGAAAAACTAAAGTCACGCTAAAAAAACCTTAGCTTCCGTTAGAATCCTAACTCAGTTTGCGGTTATAACAGTCATTTTTTAGCGGGCGCGCCACCACTTATTGATGCAAATGGTGATGGAATTGGTAAGTACAATATCTACCAATTGAACGATTTAGGCTCTTACCAGAAAGTCGGCAAATGGATTGCTGGGAGGAAGCTCGATCTCAACGTCGAGCGCGTCAGGTCAGTCTGTACTGTGAAAATTTTGTTTCTTGCTATCTTGCTCCCCAAATCACTTCAGCATTTGAAAATTTCCATCAAAACCAAATGAACGAAACTGAAATTAAAAAAAAAAAAACTTTTAAAACAGTTAAAAATATTACTGTTATGAAACTTCTGGACCAATATTGTAGGAACGGACTAAAGAACTGGAGAGGTGCGCTGCCGCTGTCAGTATGCAGCACTGATTGTCCACGGGGACATTATCGAGCATATCAGGACCAAAGTTGTTGTTGGACCTGTATTCCGTGTGATGTATCAACATCCATTATCATAAACGAAACAAGGTGACCAAACGAGTTGCTATGTCTACTAAGTAAATGTCGTGATTGTGATCATTTTTATGCAGAAAATAAAAGCTATCGTAATAAAGCCTAATCGCCACGACTGTCGCATGGTGGTTCTTTATCCTAATGGTTTGAATTCTCCTTAATCTTTGCAGTTAAGTTCAGCCCCGTTCTGCTGCTTATCTTTGCTTGCCAAATTCAGCGTTCTGCTGCCGTCTTCTAACTTTATCCGCCTAGTTTTTACTCCGCTTCGCCTTTCTCATGTTCGCTCTTAGGTGTTTTCCCATCAACTTCCTTCTTTAGTCCTTTCAGCACACTAATGTGGTTTATTTCTAGGAGAGGCAAAATTCATCTTTTGTGGCACAACTGATAACTTGTTTTTCTTCAGCAACTTTGCAAGTCGCACCTTGAATAAATGCTGAAATGTAGCAACATTTCGAGCGTATCTGCAAAAGACCTCCCATCCTGAGCTGCTTGTCTTCGGGCCCTAAACGTCTGTCATCATTTAGTAGGCACTGCGAGCTGTATGGCCATTTACTATTTTGCACCGTTAAAAAACTGTAAACAAAGGAAGCTCGCCTTGTCTGTGCAGTTTGCTTTATGTCGTGTTGAAAAGTATTTTGGGTCCATTAACCACAGAGGGTCTTATTTCTTTTTTTTTTTGAACGAAGAGAAACTGCCAAAACCATTCGCCTTTTCGTGCTACATGTAAAAGCACAGGAAAATAATTAGGTGAGCAGAAATATTTCGAATCATTAAGTTGTATACAGTCCCATTCAGTATTATAACTGGATCGCATCAGTACAACGACATTGCTGCTCTCCCTTAAAACGACGGGGTTCGAGGCATTTTTTGTTTGAGGTAAGACAATAGGAGTTCGCATCACTTTTAGGGATCATTGAGCGCTGAAAAAATTCTAAGTAGCAGCAAGTGGAGCGATATCTTGTTCAATTTCACAACAGAGGAAAAATGATCGGAATGGCTTTGAGGAAAAATGATGTGGGTCGGACTTGGTCACTGAAATCTGGATTAATAAGGGACTGATTATGTGGATTCCGGGATGTTTAGTATGAAATAGAACCACAATTTTTCAGCTGGATTCAATTAGAGAGGGAACATACAACAATTTTGCCAGCGGATAATTTTTCCTAGCCAGAGCTGTGCTTCTCTTGGAGTAAATTTTTAAGATTTTGAAAAATTAAAGTATTTTGCAGTTGTGTACAGTGCCCGCTAGGACATGCGCCCGACGAGGATCTGCTTGTATGCCGGCCGATATTGCCGACTACGCTCGAATACGATAGTCCTTGGGTTGTGCTACCAGCCGCGTTCTCGGCTGTCGGAATCGTCGCTACACTCTTTGTTGTTGGAGTGATTTTTGAAAATCATTTTTTTATTACTTTTCACGGAAGACCCGCTGAAATTCTGAACTTTGAGAAGAAAGAATATGAAACGTTAGAAGAAATTTCTAAAGCGGTTTGGCTAGGCGATGCTTTGCCCTGGGTGACGCTTCAGTCACTGGCGGGGAAGGTTACGCGCTAAGGGAAAGTGTGGAAAAGAAGAGTGCATCAGCTCCTTTTTATGCGTTTTTGT